AAATTTGTTCAAAGAAAAGAAAGAAAAGGAATAATATTTTAGTGGAATATGGCGACTTTGTTCCAACAATACACACCATTGATTTTATGCAGACAATACCACTGCTACCAAAGGTATAATATTCATTTACCAGCACGCCAAACTAGAGTAGCTTTCTGCAGTGGTTATTTACTCCAGAATTTCTAGTGCTCTTTTAGCTAGGAGTACAAAACTGGAGGGCAAGTGAAGTTCTGTCAGCGGTTTCATTGGGACGTGAGGAAAAGAGCTGCTGGACTTCTGAACTAAACCAGTCTCATTCAGATACACTGCGACAAGATTATTTCTTTTAATGAATATGCATTTGTAACATATAAACAACATCATAGCACATTTGCCGAAGCGCTCAGATCCAAGAGGATTTACTGAAGCGAGTATCCGCTGTGCACGAAAGACTGAAAGGTATGCAACCAAGCTATGCGGCACTACTGTACATTGTGGATGCGCAGCAGTGCGAGGGCTATGGAGAAGAATATTTCAGTGGCAAGGTAAGCCAGATTTACTTTCAGCAACATGTCGAATTTTTTGTTTTCTTGGTGGCCTGTTTCCTTGCTGAATCTCTCTTTTCCTGCGCAACGTACAAATGACTGTTTGTTGATGGCGTATTAATGGCCGCGCGAGCAATACCTATTCACGGTGGTTATTTTTCCACCTTACCAGATCCATCAGGCCCAAGAGACCCTTGGCTGCCTCTTCGACAAAGCTTATATAGCAAAAATTCCTGTTTGCCTAAAGTAATTAAAACTGAAACTGAACTATTGTATCCGCAGCTTTCTGTACGAGATAGCCAGTTTCTGTTCTTATTTCAAGGCCACGAGCAATTGCAGGATGAGGACAGCACAGAAGTTAAAATTGGATATTCTCAGGAAGGTATTGTTGTGAAAGGAATTTATGGCGCACCAATTAAACACAGGTTTTTTTTTTCATAATTCTTAAGATATTGCGCTATTAAGTGATAATGTTTGGTCTGAAAAACGCATAAAAAAAAAACGTTGGCATCTTTAAAATTACCGACAAAAGCACATCTTGAACCAGGAGGAGGCTCA